ATTATTATGAGCATGAATGTAATATGTGAATCATTATGAGAATTATTTGAATGTTGCAATTATGCTTTAAGCTTCCGCTATAAATGTATATGTTTACTTCATGCTGAAATGAAGATGAAAAATTATGAACTCTATGCTCCGGGAGCTTGATCGATGTTATCGCCTCATTGAGCATGTATGTTTACTTTGCATGAATTATGTATGATGATGCTGGATGATAGTGTACACATTCTGTTAATTTTCATGACCCACTATCATGATAAGTCTAGGGATTTGTGGTTAGAGTGATAAGTCACTAAGTATACACCTAACATTTCCCCTTGGCGTGTAACAAACCACCACTACATACGAACTACCTCAAGAGTACCCTTAAGATGCAAATTGTGTGAATGGTATCATAGCTTCGTGGGGGACCATGAGGTTCCTGATCAAGACCTGAATGCTCCTAGCCATTTTAGCATGGAAAACGTGAGACTCACGTCGTACAAGCCATTTAACTGGATGGGATAAGGGAGGATAGCCCCTTCCCGATGAGGGGGCTATTGTGGACTTAGGTGGTTGCATCTCACCCCAGGTCAAATACCAAGTAATCTCAAGAGTCATGTCGAGGTAGCTACTTGAAGGTCACCAGTCATACACAGTTTGGTATAAGGGAATTCTTAAGGTTTAAATGAAAGAACGGAGAACCAACATAGCTCCAAGGGGATAAGACCAAAACTAGAAGTACTAGAGCCCATGAGAAACCCGTGGGAATCTATTAAGCCTGCGATGAGGGCCTACAAATAGGTGGCTTACTGACTATAATTTTTATACTCATCCTTATTTTCTTTCCTTTTCAGGTGTTCACAGGCTGCTGGTTGAGGTGGGGAAGCGTTCGAGAGCTGTGCAGTCTACAGAAGGGGTCATTCCGAAGTGTCAGTCTATTTTCAGTCGTTTTGTAATCTTTTGTGTTCCCTTTTATATTTGTACCTTTATAATATTTGAAACAAATACTTCTCTTTCTTTTGTTTTAAGTTTATTGGATTTTTATCTTTTATTCTACCTTTCTTTTTAAATTGCTTTCGCTTCATCTTTGTAGTCACGGTTCGAGTTTCGAAGCCTCGATAATCAGGTCGTGACAACTACAGACGGGTAATGTATGCTCAAACCTTTGGCCCTATTTTGAGAAAAGATTTTAGAAAACGGGGTGAGAGAGATTTTGAAAGAGAGTTTGAAAGCACAATTGAGAGAGAGATTGAAAGCAATGTTATATGTCAACAAGTAAAAGGCAACACAACGACTTAAATAGGATATAAATTTTTTGGTAGAGAGAATTCGACAACTAGTCTCATCCCCCTATTGTACATTTTGAGGCAATTTAGGTCTAGCAAACCTATACGTGATTTCGCTGAATGATCATACAAAATCTAGGTGAGAGGAGTTGACGACTAGTCGCATCCCCCTATAGTATATTCCGGAAAATTTCATGTCTACGAGGCATATACATGATTCTGTTGAACGATCATACACTTGGAAAACACAATAAGGAAACTATACATCATAAAGGCAGTAAAGGAAAGCGATAAAGTGATAGTAGGCAAGGGTTTTGGCATGCCACAGGGAGTCCTTTCCTCTTAACCAAGTATTCTTGTACATTTCGTCTTGGTTTGCCAATGCAAGTGTTCGCAACATAAATCTCTTCTACTTCTTTTTTGTTCGTGTCTTTGATCGTAACTGGGAGTCGTGTCATTTCGTTGAGTTGATGGTTGTCATATTCTGGATGGTACCGTTTCAAGTTACTTACATGTATAACAAGATGAATCATCATCCATGTAGGTAGTTGAAGACGGTATGAGGTCCTCCCAACTTTCTCGATGACTTTGATTGGCCCTTCATATTTTCGCATTAGTCTTTGATCCCTATTCCTACGAAATCTAAACTTTTCTGGTCTAAGCTTGGTTAGAACTTGGTCACTGGCCTAAAATTCCAATGGTCTGCGTTTTTCGTCTGCCCACTTCTTCATTCGTCGTGAAACTTTCTTAAGTACGCATGTGCCACTTCAGAGGTTTGCTTCCACTCCTTGGTGAAGTTATATGCTTGCGGGCTTCTCCTAGCATATGGGTGGTCAATGACGTGGGGCATGAGTGGTTGTCTGCCACATACTATCTCGAAGGGGGTCTTCTCTATCAACGAGCTTTGTTGACAGTTGAAGCTAAACTGAGCAACGTTAAGTATCTGTACCCAATTTTTCTGTCATGCATCAATAAAGTGACGTAAGAACTCCCCAAGCATGCTATTAAATATTTAGGGTTTAGGGTTTGGAGATGTTAGCTCGAGAAGATGTTTAGGCTCGACCCTAGTAGCCTAAATAGCTCAGCTCAAAGGTCCCTGTAAATCTCACATCGCTATCACTGATAATGCTTATGGGAATGTCCCACAGCTTGAGAACATGTTGAAAGAATAATTGGGCAGTTGCTTCGACAGAGCATAACTTTTCCGTTGGGGTGAATGTGGCATACTTGGAAAACCTATCCACAATTACTAGAATGGACTCAATGTCTCCTACCTTCAGGAGATGTATGATAAAGTCCAGAGACATGTTTTCCATGGCTGAGAGGGCACTGGTAAAGGTTCCAGCAGTCCCATGATTTTGGTCCGTTTGACTTTATCTTGTTAGTAAATAAGATGTCTTTGTGAATTGTATCACATCGTCGTAAAGGTTCGGCCTGTGGTATCCCCTTTTTAGAAGGGCGTAGGTTCTTTGATAGACCCATCAATACACTAAGTTTCATAATGTATTTTATAAGTTTTGTTTGGTTCGGGTCTAATCAGAGGTTTCTATCTTATGAACTCGAACCGAATTGAATAAATTTGGGTCCAGGAAAAATAACCCAACCCAACCCCTGTAATTCAAGTTGGTTGGTCCAGATTGTCGAGTTGGACGTACACCCTTACTAATGGAAAATATTTAAAAAAACAATTAAAGAAATGGTTGAAACACTTCTAATGTTGAGATACAACAAAAGCTCAACATCAAAAGCTATCTATTCGTGAGTTTTGCATGTTTTTGGGAAATTTAATAATTTCTTGAGAAGTCTCAAAAATCAAATCAGTCAGAGGCCGTCTATTTTTGGTTTTGCATCTTTGTTGTAAATTCAATAATTTTTTTAAAGTCTAAAAAGCAAACCAATGTGTCCAGATGTATCCAGATCATCGACAAATACTTGTTTAACTTGACTGATATTTTCACTACTGGGAAGACAAAAGTGATAAGACAACCCTAATCCTGAGTCCAACGATCCAAGTGTTGAAGCAAGAACCCTTGAATCAAAATAACTAATACCTCCTTATACAAAATTCGGATCAACCAAGAGATAAGACTAGAATTAAATTACCTCTTAAAATTCGGATCAACCAAGAGATAAGACTAGAATTAAATTACCTCTTACGATCGAAGATCTAGAAGCAAGATTTGGAAACTTTGTTCTAAATTGAGTTACTCTACAATCGAACTTGATCAAGATTTGATTGAATGGCTCGGGTGCAATTCTACCACAAGAATTGTTTGAAACTTAAAAATGACAAATATAATGCTCAGATTTCTAAGGGAAACGTCTCCATTTAAGATCTGAATTACATTCATCCACGAATCTGATTTTTACCTAACATATTGTGGTATTTACAGTCTCTTGACAAAAATGTTTGTGGCCAAGATTTATTCCCAATCCCCTCTAATGTCCCTAAAAAGTCAAATTGACCCTTTGACTCTGGCATATTTTATGAAATTAAAAATAATATTTTCTAACCAATGTTGACGTGGCTCAACCGATTTGAGATTAATTGAGGTCTCCTGTAGATTCGAATTCTTTTTGAATCTTTTGAATCTTCTCATCAATATGTCCATTTGGAACACCAATATATTAGTTAAAGAATACATGTGAGATCACTCTCCAAGGGATATTATAATAGTTAAAGAATATATCTGAGATCACTCCAATTTGAAGGGATATTATAATATATTAGTTATAGAATATATGTTAAATATTTATAATCGATTGATATTCTTTCCAATTTGAGGGAATATTATAATATTCATAATCAGTTAATATTCTTTCCAATTTAAGGGAATATTATAAAATATTAGTTATGAAATATATCCGTAATCGGTTAATATTCTTTCCTATATTTGATTAGTAGTATATTTTATTTTATTCTCAATATTTAATTAGTTTATATTTTCGTATTTGTAGATATTGGTGGGTGACTTGTATCAAAAGTTATGAATATAGATGAGAATATACACCTTTCATCCTAATTATATTTCTCATTCTTAACCCTTCAATATTTATATTTTTTTAAAAAATAAAATATTAGGTATTTTTCTCAAAAACTAATATTTTTTATTATTTGTTATTTTATTAAAACTACAAAGTTAAAGAATATTATTTAAAAAAGAAAACAATTTAGCTCTACCGGTTTCTCTCCACCGTAAGAAAAGTAAACAAGGAAATGAAATCTAACAAATGGTCGTTTCAGCACCGTACGCCCCAAGCTTAGTAGAAATACACGGTGGGGAAGCTCTCTCCCCTCATAGACCACCGAAACTTGTCGTACGCCTCACCCCTTTCTAGAAAAACGCCACGTAGCGGTTTCATGAATCCACGTCAGGAAAAAAAAGTCATACCACCAACTACAAACCCACACGTGACCGGCAACTTCCGGTTACAATAGTCGCCACGTGTACGCGGGCCCCACCAAAGACAGCTGGACGGGACGCTTTTAAGCACTCAGCCTCAGCTTAGAACTTGTGGACGAGATTGGAGGAGCAAATAACAAATTTCAAAATTAAAAAAAGAAAAAAGAAAAAAGAAAAAAGAAAAAGAAAAAGAAAAGAAAGGAAAAAGCGCATGGGTGGGCTTTTATCATCCACAGCCACTAGTTTTGTGCCACTTGTCAAAATCCAATGCAACGACCTTTCTCTATTGCCTTCTTCCACTTGTTTGTAGCCTCAAAAAATAAAAACTAAAAACTCGCTGGTTTTTATTTTTTAAACGGCGCAAAATCCAGAAGAAATTGTAGTGGCTGAGATTGCTCCGACGCCCAAAACTGTAACTTCCGGTGCGTTAGGTCTCTCATACAGAAGAAAAAGGAAACAGACAACAAAAACAATACTCTCTGCTACTACTTCCACCCTCTCTGTTTATTCATTCCTCTTCTTCAGATTCTTCTTACTTTTTCCTTCAATTCACCTTCTTAATCTCTACAAACCATGGGTTTTCTGCTGAGTTTCTAGTGATTTCACTCTCATGCATGATCGGACTATCCACTGTTCCCTTCCGAATTACCTCCAACCATGGCTTTCTTCCAAGGTACTCTTCTTTTTCTCTATCCCCCTCTCTCTCTAGGGCTTCTTCTTAATCCTTACTCTCAGTTTGGTTGCCGAGAAAATTTTTAGAAACGGATGGAGTTCTTAATCTGTAGGCTTTTGTTTTTGCAGATTGAATTGCTTGGTGCTGCTTAAGTTAGTTGATTTTTCTTTTTTCTGTTTTTTTTTTAATCATTCGATTTCTAATGTTTTCTCGGCAGCTAAATGGATAGTTAACTTGACTTTACCAGATCGGTATTGTAGCGATGCATATCTGTGAGTTGGAGAAAGTAGTTTGTTGATTACTGATTAGAATTTTCTCTCTTTTCTACATTCTAAGGTTTTGGCGTCTTCCAGTTCGTTTTGGTGAGGATTCTGAATAAGGAATTTTCATTTTAAGTTCTTTTTCGGCGAAGTATCTCTATCTTGTTACGGTGGCTTCTGAAAATATTTTCTATGAAGTTTTATTTTGATGTTTCCTACTATATTAAAATTTTACATAATATAAGTCTACTGATGCAGTTAAATTCGAAACTCTTAATTTTGTTTACTTGAAAAAGAGACGGATCGCTTCCGATTGCTGTCGCTTTTTTTCTATTTTGCAGTAGCGTCAAGGAGCCCGGTGACAAAAGAAACAACGGCTTCACCATTTATAATTTTTTGTATCCCTAACAATGAAAGGAGGTTTTCTTTTTACCCTTGCTCGTTAGAGAGGATTTGAAGCAGCGGTTGCTGCTCAGGTCCTTCGATGGAACCCAACTCCTCAGGAGAAGACTTGGTTTTTAAGGTAATAATCCATTCCCCCTTCTCACAGAAAAGGAAAAGATAATTAAGGAGAAGTTAAGAAAAGGGAAAGAAATGAAAAATGAAAACTGTTTATAATTGAGGTCTACATATGATAGACCAGGAAGCCATATACTATTACAAAGCAACGAGAGCGCTGGACGGAGGAGGAGCACAATCGATTTTTAGAGGCGCTGAAGCTCTATGGGCGAGCATGGCAGAGAATTGAAGGTTATATTTTGCTCAACTGTCAGCATTCCTTTTTGACTTTTGTTGATTTCTTAGTTTGTAACCTTGGTTGGATGAATTATATACTTCCTGATATTTGATGCAAAATTTAATTACCATCCAGGTCATTAATCAGAATTTGCTTCAATTAAAAATTTTATGATCTGTGATACTAATTTATGGTTATTGTTGAGCTAATTTGATCTGGATCCTTTAATATGAATGCTATCGAGTTTATATTGTCCCTCAAAAAGGCTCCTGATTCTCCTTTGTATGCCTTTATATGCAGAGCATATTGGAACCAAAACTGCAGTCCAGATACGAAGTCATGCACAGAAGTTCTTTTCAAAGGTCAATGTGTACCCTTCTCTACTTATTCTTATTTTTTGGTTTTTCTTCTTCTTGGCTTGTTGTCCTTGATTTCAATGCTTTCATTTTTATGAAATATTGTATTATGGCGAACTTGTTTCCTTTTGTGTTTTTTTTTTGGTCCAGTTGTTTGGTTCATAATCTTGCTTGCTCATCAGTAGAACATCTACGTTTCTTTTCATAATCTTGCTTGCACATCAGTAGAATGTCTGAGCATTTCTTACGGGTATTTCCATTTTTTTAGGATAGCAGGTATTTCCATTGGCATTATGGCCTAGTTGCCTTATCCTGTATGCTTGTTATTATATATATTGATTATAGATGTTGCCATATCTGTAGAATGGGTACTAGACTAAAATTAGTTTGACAAGATTGATGCAAAATCCCATCTATGGAAAATCTCATCATGGCTTTCTTTTGGAATATGGGGAAACAAAGAAATAAAAAAGTATTCATGGAAAAGATACTTATACAAATCTCTTTAAAAATGTTATTTACCAAGCTATATCTTAAGGTGAACGGTTTAATATTTTTGCTTCCTATAGTTATGTCATCCTCATTGTAAATTGGAAAAGTCTTTTGTAAACATTATGGATATCCTTTTTGTAAATTTCAAATATAAATGAAATTGTCTCTAATAATAATAATTAAAAAAAAAAAAAAAACATTGATGACACTGATCAAAATGATTTATGTCTCTTTGAGGCTTTGACATATGGCCGTTGAGTTAAAAAACAAAAAAAAGGATGAACAAGAAGACCTTTTCTCCAAAACATGCAAACCTAAAGTTGACGCATGACTTCTCTTTCTCAAGATGATGGCTTCGTCTGACTAAATCCTCTGGCTTGGGATGCTAGAGTTCTGATGTTTTTTTTTCGATTGTTGTGTATTATCAAACGCTTACTGGAAGTTTCAAGTTAACGGTAAATAATGCACAATTTAGGACAACTTTTAGTTGCACAAAGGATGTGCTGACGACAGCATGAGATTAATAATTTCACAAACCGACAATACCTAGGTTCTCAATTTACAATGAGGCCGTGAGGAAAGGATACTGATGTTATCTACAAAATAACAAGATCATCACTTACATGTTTAAACTATTTATGTCTGGAGTTTACTTTCGGACAAAATGAGTTCAACTTGTTATCTAGGAAAAAAAATGTTGGGGGTAAGTAATGTTGTACATCAACAATGTGTAAATTGCAACTCACAAAAGTGAAGAGTTGTTTAAAGATCCAAAAGTATCAACTCTAGATTGCGTTAGGTTTTAGTATCTCATCTTGAAGATATGTGCTTATCTTGGAGGGAGCATCTTGATTTGGCCAAGATTAAAGCTTCTCTTGGATGTTCTTTGTCTTCTTTGTCTGCTAATTATTCTTTTAGCTTTTTCCAATTTGGATTTGTATCCATGAACTTTTTTTTTTCTTTTCATTAAAAATATAGTTTCTTCTTGAAAAAAAATATCCAATGGTACTTGGGTACTTCTTATCAGGATTTTATGAGTGAGTTAAACATATTAAAGTTGATTATCATTTTGTTTGTTCGCATGGGTTCACAAGTTGGTTGTTCTTTGGTTAAGGACTCAAGTTTTATGCACACCAATGTATATATGACTCAAGTGAACGGAATATGATTGAATGTTTTTTTTCAAATCTTTGTTAGCGTATAAATGTTCCAAATTTGTTTTCTATTTGATATAGTTTTGTCTCCTTTTGAACCTGTAGTACACATGGTAAATTCAATAGCCATTTTCAGCGCCACCACATTAGTGATGAAATTGAATATATCTTCCTAACTCATTTATGGCCTTGATCTTGTTGTAACGTTGGGGCTTCCCAACTGTCTCTTGTTTATTCAAATTTATTTCTGTGATCGTAAAGATTTGTTTTGTAGTTTTATTCTTTTGAAAAACAAAGCAAGAAAAGATTTCTTTAAAAAGTTTGGGGCTTGCTATATGCAACTATATTTTTATTAGCAGTTTAAGTAAAGGTTTTTTGTGCATGAAACTTGAGTTCAGCCAATCAAATTTTTAGTCAAATGATTTCCTTTTTATTTTTTAATTATAATCTTTGCATATTCCTATCCAATATATATACGCATAATCTTTACATGTTCCAGGACTTATTTTTGTGAAACTTTCCTGATGTACATGGTAAAGTCTGCTTCCTCATCGCTTTATTCTTATTGTCTTAAATTTTTTCACTTTACCATCTCTAATTCATACCTGGGGAGATAATTGGCAAGTGCTTCAAGTTCTTACAAAATTGGATAAGGGCATCCTCATGACTGTTAAATTGGTAAAGGTATCTACTGATAGTGGCCAACCATCCTTGCTTGATGATCTTTATCAGCTTCTTCTTGCTACCGGATGAGTGGTAAGATTAGGATGATTGCTAGGTCTGCTAAACTGGAATAGCAGATGGCCCCTTAGGCCGATTGGACTAGACCGAAAGCCCGAAACATCCTTGATATCGTGAAGTGACCCTCACGCTTGGAATACTTGACTGAGACCTTAGCTGCCAATGCTGACAGAAAAAAATGCCCATTCCCCTGCTTTTTCAGACTGGTGAAGAGAATTTCTTAGACCGGGGGTTTTAAGATAGAGGTCCTTTAAGGTGAACTTATTCCTTACTAGTTAGAAACACTTTTTCATACTGTCTTTCCAACTGGCTATTCTCGGGCTGGAAAGCTTGAACATGACGAATAGGGCGCGGACGATGTGGCTTAGTGAGATGAAGGGATGGTACGCTGAAATGGTCAGAGACATCTTTATTTGAGGAGGAGGCTTTGTCGTCCGGCTCCCCATAAATGATCTTAGGATGTACTTATGCTCATATCGACCCAAGATTCGATAGATAAACCATCTTGGGGCTATTTTCTATAATAGAAACCTTCATTCAGTGAGAAGGAGAACAATGCTGGTAAGCCTATCCCACATAAAATGGCCAGAGAGTTAACACAGTTGAATGATTCACCTAGGCTGACCTTGCCCTAAGTGTACTGGAGAGTTAACACTGTTTTCTCCCCCCCAACAATGCCTTTTTAGGTAAATCCAATTGCATAGAAAGTGGTCAAGAGTCAGTTGAGTCTGTGATGGCTTGCTTTCAACAGATCATGTGCTATTGATGGGTCTCAAATCCTTAACTTACTGAAACTCACTGTATATGCTTGCCCCTTATTATTTTAAGTTACCTTTATCTTTTTTAATTTTATTTTCCTTCCTCCTTTTGATGGGAGTATCTAGGCTAGCTTATGCACCTTATCTAACTCACGGGGACATGTGCCTAATCCTACAAGATTTGGATGACACATTCATGTTGATACTCATGAATGCCCTTCTCCTATATTGCCATGATTTAACTAGTCTACCCGACTATGGGTTTGCTAATGATTCATCCTCTTTTGTTGAATTTAGGCCGTTTTCTTGGTCTAGGGGTGGCAGGCCAACTAGTATGGTCAATTTATGCCAAGGGTGGAGGAGAGTTGATCACCATGTCCCCTATTGCATTTTTAAGGTAAATCAACTCTACCACCCACTCACATAGAAAATGACAAGGATTCACTCCCTCCCTAGTGACTCCTTCTAGATTCCCCTAGAGAGAGTATTATCCAAAATAGCATTTAAGGTGAAGTACTGATTAAAAAAATACCTGCAAGTGAAGCACCTAGTTCCTCCAGGGACCATTTCATTATGTTTGGCATGCTGAGTTTGCCAAATATTATGAAGAATACTGGAGAAAGTAGCCGTTTCTTAGTTCTTAACACAGAACGATGTCTTCTAAACTTAAGATGGTTCTCTCTGGTACTCAGGCCAACAATTACTAGGGAAAAAAAATGCTTTAGAGCGTGCCATCTAATACAGTCGAGTCAAAATAAAGTTAAATGACTAATTACCTATTCAGATATTTTTTCCAAACACGATCCTTTCTTCGTTGTCTAATCTGAAAAAAAAAAAAAGTCCACCTTTCAGTTTTCTGGTTACATTTGGAAATGTGCTTCCACAGGCTTTTGTTTTTTACAGTTGGTGCCTGCTTGATATTGTTCTCCTCCCTTGCTCAATATTGTGTATGAGACAATATCTATATACGTGCCACAGTGCTTTGATCACATTCATGAATTTTCAACCCAGTTTAGATATTGGTAGTTAGGCTTCAATTGGGATAAACTAGCTGTTAGGTTAGTTGTGATTTGGCTGGCATAAACTAGCCGGTGACTTAGTTAGGATTTGATTGGCATAAACTAGCTGATGTGGGGTTAGTAGGGATATAGTTGGCGTAAACTAGTATAAGTACTAGTGTTCTATCTGCTGACATGTCAGATTTCATTTATAAAGTTTCTCTCGTTTGGTTCACACCAAAATTGGTATCAAAGAAACCTTGTGAAAGGTTTGATGGCTAGAAAAAGAGCATAACACTTTGGAAGTTAAGTAGTCTTGACAGTAGGGTGTCTAAAATAGAATTTCTCCATAATTTGAAAACTATTTTCTCGCCAAGAACGCCAACTCGTCATCTCTTTGGAGAAATTCATAAAAATATGACCAAAGTTCAACTTATGATTGGTACAATGGCCATACAGTGGAATGAACTTCTGAAACCCTTTAATTTGTACAGTCCCCGAGAGCAAACAGAAGGCAACAACATTAACCATTGAAACCAAAAACAGAGAGGTCACTCGCAGAAAATTCTAAGAGTTTTTTTCCACATGATAGGCCCCAATAACGCATAAATGGAAGGGTCTTAATCATCTTCATTTTTTTTTTTTTTCTTTTGTTCATTTGCGTTACTGGCTGAAGTGAGAACAGTTTTAGAGAAGGGTTACTAATTGTGTAGTCTGAAAGACATTGCTGAAAAAAACCTCAAGTTAGTAGCTGTTGATAGCGTTGGAATCCTAGTTTATTTTACTACTATGGAGCTGATTTGCTTGGAAAAGATTAGTTGAATGTGACAGTTGTTGAATGGACGTGCAAGCAAGCATGCCAGGTAATACACTTCATTTGCCCTGTCACAACCAGGATATAAGTTTCTTAAAAAGATTAGCTTGCACCTAGGAAGAACATAATTGGCAACCTGAATTTTGAGAGGGACGTATCTTCAGTCCACCTTATTCCTTCCCAGAGGTAGATTTCCTTATTAACTGAACATGGTTCACCCTTCAGCTAAGGATTGCACTCTGAAGAAACATCAACCACCGCATGTAGATGAAGGAAGGCATACTCTTGTTAATGACCGACCATACACTACCCCATGTATAGAAAACAAAAATTCAAAGGCTCAGTAAGTGAAATGTTGACGGTTGAAATTGTATTCAAGCTTTGTTATCCTAGTGAAAAATTGGTGGGAGTTGGGGATTTGTGTAAACTATCAAGTGCTCAACAACATCAACTACCCCTGATAGGTTCCAATACCAATGGTTGAGGAGTTTTTGGATAAGCTTTATGGGTCTAAAATCTACTCTAAGATAGATCTTAAGTTGGGTTATCATTGGATTTGAGTGATTAAAGAAGGTATACCTAAGATAGTCTTCCAAATGACGAAAGAAGCTATGAATTTCTAGTGATGTTTTTTGTTAAATCACTATTGAACCCAAAAGCCTAAGTTGATGGATTAGCACTCCCTCCTCACTTGTGAGCTTGAAAATTTGTATAAGGCCCAATGGAAATAAATATTAATTAAAAAATAATCGGGGAGGAAATGACATTATAGGTGTTCGCTGATACATTGTTATCACCACTGAACCCAAATGCTTAGGCCGATGGGTTACGTAAATTTAATTATATCAACCTTAACAGATCTCGTGAATGCACTCACAACTATCCTTTTTAGTCCCTTCTTACACAAGTACTTCCTAGTAATCTTTTCTGATATTCTAATTTACAACCTAGATTTATGTCCATATATCACCGACTATAGTTTTTAATCTACAAGGAGAACAATCCTTATGAGAACTTGAAGAATGTGTCGATTGGCAAGAGATCTCATAGAGGATCTTGGTGAGTAGGTGTTAGCACAATAAATGGAGGTAGACCTAGAAAAGGTACGGTTGATGCTGCAATTTCAATGACCACTAATGTGAAAGAGCTTTTGGGATTCTGAAATCTCATGGGATACTATTGACAGTTTGTTTCAAATTATAATACTATTGTCGCTCCTTGCACCCAATTCCTGTAGAAAAACTCCCAGTGGGGTGGTAACTTGCCTATGTTGGCTCTTCTGCACTTCAGCTTGCCTTTCATGATTGAGATTGATGCAATCCAATACCGGATTAGAGATAGTTTTATCATAGGTGTAGCGCATAATCACAATTTCATTCAAAATTTGTTACACTAAGCTCAATTGATGTGTGTTTACAAAAAGGAGCTGATGGCGATAGTCCTTTTAATTCAACAATGGAGAACATACTTACCTGGCCGAAAGTTTATTCCAAGGACTGATCAACAGGCATTGAAGTACCTCCTAGAGTTTAGAGTTCTACAACTAGTCAATAATGCTAGATTTCTGAACTGTTGGGAAATGGCTTCAAGACTCAATATGATTTTGAGTTTGAAAACAATGCCACTTATGCTCGACCATGCCTTGCCCAGCCATTCACTTGGCAAGTTTCTCACCATTCTTGATATTAAAGTGTATAATGGTGAGGTCTTAAATGACCCAAAACTTATTCAGATAACTAACAACCTTAAGAAGATTTGGCCAACATATCTAAATACACGCTAAAAAGGGGACCTTAATCCATAAAGATTGCCTAGTCTTGTTGAAGACATCGACCTTACTTCTACCATGATTCTATATTAGGAGGGAGTAGCATCATACTTACACGAGGCTCACGAGAGTGTTATACTAGATTGATATTCAGACAAATATTAACATGTATGTGAAACATTGTACAATTTGGAAGCCTAACAACACCTTGTGTTGAGGTATTCATATAATTAAATTTACAGTAACCTATCCGCTTAAAGTTTTGTATTCCAGCTCCTTTAAGTTATTTCCTTCCCATTTAATATTGATTTCCACTTGCTGAGGTTTTTACAAATTTCCAAGCCCACGAGTGGAGTGTTAAAATTTTGTTATAGTTAAATTTAGTGTAATCCGTTGGCTTAAGTTCTCGAGTTCAATATTGATTTAACATGTTGGTTGAAAATATTTTGATAATTATTTTATTTTATTGTATTATTTCCTGATTCTATCCCTTCATATTTGAATTTTTCACCTATATTAGAAGAGTACGTATCTGATGATTGAATTATTGGAATACAAGTATTTGATTCCATTAAACCTTAGTCCTTGGCATGTGTGCACCCGGTCTTCTTCAACCACTTCCAATGTTGACTAAAATCTAGGAAGATATTTTGATGGATTTCATGGATGGCCTTTCAAAATCTATGGAAATGATGCCATCTTCACAGTGGCTTATAGGTTGACAAAGTATGCACACTTCAGACCAGTGTGGCAACATTATTTAGTGAAATGATAGTAGCAACATTTGTTTGAGATGTGGTTCAGCTCCTTGGGTCTTTTGCATTCCATTGATTCCAACCATTGCTTACCACCCGCAATTTGATGGGCAAAGAAATTGTGAGCATGTGCTTTTGGAGACATACTTGAGGTTAGGGGTGCATATTGATTTTAGTCTAAACTAGAGTCTAGCCGAGTTTCTCAGTTATTTTGAATTTTGAACCAAACTGAAGTCCATCTACTTGAAAAACCGTTTGGTTTGGGTTTATTAGGCAGTTCATAGTGATTTGGATCTTTTGGTTTAAGCCTCGGTGGTTACCTTTTTTTTTTTTGGAGTTGCAATTTTGGCCCAATTGTCGTCAATTCTCCAGAATAATTCTTACCACAAATTCACATCGCCACTCCTCAATGGAACATGAACACTAGGAAAATTGAGAAGAAAAAGATGAATATAGCTAGTAATGGTACGAGTATCTAAAATCACCGAGTAAGTTTAAGTTAAAGAGAAGAAGAAAATATCAATGATGATAGAACCACCACCACATTTGACTATAGTTATTAGGAGTTATTTAGGAATAGTGAGTTTAAAAACGCATGGAGAGGGTCCAAGGTAGGGAGGGATGGGAGAGGAAAGAAGAGGCATTAGAGGAAAAGAAGAGGTTTTGAGTCGAGGGAGTGTGAAGATCTGGTCATCGATGCCTTGGAGGGAGTGGCTCATGCTTGGGTCTTTCCCAGAGGATTGATGATGGAGCCGAAGCTAGAGACGATGACAAAGACATAGCTAATGCCAGAAATGGAGGCCCAACAAAGATGAGACTGACAGACTCAAGCCAGAGATGGGGAGTGATGACGGTATGAGAGATGAGGGATGGAGTGAGAAGAGATCTGATGTGATGTCAATAAGGGAATGAGATGTAATGGCCTGGAGCATTACGAAACTTGAATTTTCAGCTTTGGCACCGCAAATATTATGATGAAGAATACTTGAAGAATGGAAGTTCTATCTAAGTCACCTGTACATATTTACTTCAAACAGGGTTGCTATCTGTATAGTTCATAGTCCACTTCTTATATGATAGAACAAAACATGTTGCAATTGACAAGCATTTCATAAAATATAGGACCAAGCATAATAGACTGACAACCATTTGATAAAGGAGAAGATTAATGCCTGTGTTATCTGTATCATTTATTTTCTGGCAACGAAGCCAACAAGGATGTGCTTTCAAAGGGGTAGTTTGACAAATTGATATATAAGTTCGCTCAAGCTTGAGTGAGTGTTGGATTTCTTTGTCTGTAAATATTAGTGGTTCACAGTTTTGACAATAATTATGTTATCTTCCATCTTTTTCTTATTTGTAGATGCCATTTCTCGACATTTGACAACATGTTTTATTTGGATAGCTAAAATGAGGTGAACTGTTTTGAAAGTGTATTGAGGTTTTGATAGCTTCATTTTTTGTTTTGTAAATACTTTCTAATAATATAATTTATCTGCCAACTTCAAGGAAAAAGTTTGCACTCTTTACAGTAGAAGACAATTTCGACGGTTAAATTTACAAGGTCCCTTATCCTTGAAAGGACTGTGCATGTAAACTACCATTTTCATGTTCCTTCTGGAGCCTGAACTTCTATATGAACATATCATATCGGGCCACTATCTGTTTCTTAGATTCTTGCGTCCTAGATCATGTACAAAGTTCCTAGTTCAATATAATTTTTCAGCAATTGTTCAACTCCCCACTGCAAGGATGGATATCTTTAAAAATGTTCTCTGCGTGGATATTGTGCGAAGATATGTTTTATTTTCTGAGATTCTGATTTTTTTCTTTAATTTAATTTTCCCAGTTGGAAAAGGAAGCACTCATTAAGGGAATTCCTGTAGGACAAACTCTTGATATAGATATTCCACCACCTCGGCCGAAGAGGAAACCGAGTAATCCTTACCCAAGGAAAACTCCTATATCAAAGTTGGGTGCAAATGACGGGAAGCTCTTGACTTTGGTGTCTTCTTCACAGAGCAAACAAATCTTAGATTTGGAGAAAGAGCCACTGAATGAGGTGTGGTGCACTCTTCTATCTTCTTCCAATGCGTTAATATTTATTGATATTTCACTTTTGCTACTCATACTATTAGGCCACTAGTGGAGAAGAACAAGCAACTAGCGAAATGGATACTCATGACGATAATTGCTCAGAAGTATTTACCCTTTCACGAGAAGCTAACTTCTTTTCTTGGAAAAACAAAAATTCTGTACCTGCGCAAGTTAAACTGAACCTGAACGACTTATGTGCTTTCAGGGAGTTTGTGCCTTCATTTAAAGAGGTAATTGTGCAATGTGAAACAAATGAATCTTATATGTTCTTTTAACTTATATTGAATCGTAATGTCATACTACCTTAGCTTGATGCAAAACAGCCACTCCATGATAAAGGCAGGGGCAAGGTTTCAGAATTTGAGATTGCAAGTGCTTCACAAGAAAAAATTGTGTCTGCTGAAAAGAAAGAAGCTTTAAGCTGCGTACTGTCTGGAGATGAAATGCAAGTTGCTCATAACTATCCAAGGCATGTGCCTGTGCATGTGGTCGATGGAAGCTTGGGAGCAAATGTTCAAGAGTCTGTAACAGACACTCCGCTGCAGGAATCCTCTTTTAATCCAGCAATGGAGGTTCCAGGAGAGCATAACATACATCGGAATCCATCTGATTCTGTTTCCTTCGAACGTCAAAACAATGCACCTAGGTGCATTTATCAATCGTATCCAACTGTTCATCCCTCTCCATTTACCTTACTTCCCCCTAACCAAGAAAATTATAAGTCACTTCTCCATATGTCCTCCTCATTTTCAAATCTCGTTGTGTCTACCCTTCAACAAAACCCTGCAGCCCATGCAATAGCAAGTTTGACAGCAACATGTTGGCCCTATGTGAATCCTGAAGCTTCTGTAGATTCTCCCATGTGTGATAAGGAAAGTTTTAGAACCAAGCAAATGAACTCCACCCCAAGTATGGAAGCCATTGCTACAGCAACTGTAGCAGCTGCAACTGCATGGTGGACGGCCCATGGACTGCTACCTTTATGTGCCCCTTTTCATTCTGCCTTTACCAGTTCTGCTATATCTGCTCCTGTGGCACAACCATCAGATACCTGTCCAAATCCCGAGTCCAAGGACAAAGCAGAAAGTTCCATGCAAATTGATGCAGAACAATCAGAAGCTTTAACTGCTCAACATTCAGGTTCCAAGTCACCTACTCATTCATCATCTGATTCTGAGGGTAGTGGAGGTGCAAATGCAAATGCAAATGCTACGGTGAAACCTGCCCATGACGAGAAGACACCTGCTGAGGATGAGTTTCATGATTCAAACAAGGGAAAGAGGGGAAAACAAGTAGATCGCTCCTCATGTGGTTCCAATACACCATCTGGAAGTGATCAAGAGATAGATGCCACAGAAAATAATGATAAAGAAGAAAAGGAGGAAAAAGAGCTTGAGATGACTTGTCCAGCTTCCGAGTCCAGTAATCGTCGCAGTAGATGCATCAGTAACATAAATGAATCTTGGAAGGAGGTTTCTGATGAGGTAAAAAGGGTATGTTAGTTTATTCAATGTATTTTGTTGCAGTTTTCTTCGTATAATGCTTACATTTTCTCGTAATTTATATCATACAGGGGCGGTTGGCTTTTCAAGCTCTCTTCACTCGTGACATATTGCCTCAAAGCTTTTCACCTTCATATGATGTAGAAAACGAGAATGAGAAGAATGGGAATGTTGAGAAAGATAGTAACATTATAGATAAAGATAGTTGTGCATCCGTTATGGACCTTAACAGCAAGATTTGTGGACCTTCTAGAGATCAAGTTATGGAGAGATACACATCGGCAACAGGTGACAACAATGGAGAGGGAAAAATTCTCACAATTGGACAAGGAAATGGAACCCCCAAGGGTTGTCGAACAGGATTCAAACCTTATAAAAGATGTTCAGTGGAGGCAAAGGAAAAGAGAATGACAACATCCAGCAACCACAGTGAGGAGGGAGATCAAAAAAGACTACGCCTGGAGCAGAAAGCCACAAATTGACAGTTGATTGGCATGCAAACGAGCAAAGGAAACCTTTGTCTGCTGCATGTATATCTAACCTTCCTCGTGAATCTATCTTTCCCACTTTAATTCTTCGCGTGTGTACTATAAAATGCCTACATTATGTGATTGGTACATTCGAACTTATACATCTGAACTGAAGATTACCTAAATTAGCCTTTTTGTAAGAATTGTTCAGTACCCCAGTAGCCATTATCCTGTTACCTCTTCCAAGACTTTAGTTTCTTAATGAAGATGGTCTAAGTTTAGCATTCTAATGCATGTTCCAGTATCTAGGAACCTAAAGTGTCAGATTTATTAATCGTGTAGAAACTACTGAAGTAATGAAGACATTCCCTTGGCTGCTGATGATAATAATACCTTGCTATCTTTCATTCCTCATGATGTGGCTTTCAGTTGATGTTTATGATCTTATTTTGATTACTGATTTACTGGCTGGATGTTTTCCAGTTGCAAGAACAGAACTCTATAGAAGGCTCTGTGATTTGATTTGAAGTTGATAATTTGAACAGACTCCCATCTCTGATCCGTATCAGGAAGTGTTGTTGGGAACATGACCGACTGTAAGTTGTTACTGTAATCCTCTCATGCATGACCTATTCTTGGACTGTTTAGTTATTAGGGAGAAAATAGATGTTGTAGAAGATGAACCCGAATCCCGATTTCAGGTTGTTATGGCTGTTTAGCTGAGAAAATATGCATTTGATGATCTCCATATTTTGATATTCTTGGTTAAAGTCTTTGTTCTGCTCTTAATATCGTGGTGTTTGAACCAGATCTGGACTATTTTACAATACCCAGTTTACTTTTTAGGAGTTGGAAGAGGAATGAAATTAATGGGAGTAGAAGTGTGTTATTCTCTTGATGGTATTTACTAAAAATGGTTTGATACTATTTATTGCTAAATCATCCCTTTCATATTTGTAGAAAAGTATATGCATGAACAGATATGGTAGTTGAAATGAGATAAAAATATGGTCCATTAAACGATATTATTTAGCTTAAACTCAACCAAGTTGGGATTCATTTGTCAAGCCTGAGTTTTGTGCTCGCCTCAAGCCTCGGCTACTAAGTGTTGGCAATCAACAAGTAAAGCAACATGCTTGGAGTTGTTTTGATCCAAAACTAGTAATATTTGGAATCTTCTCATATCATTATCTGAACTTAGAGATTGTTTATCGAATTCTTCACTCTTTGGATTGATATTAACAGAGTTGCCTTTTTTTTCCTTAGAGCGTGCGTTGGTGGAGAGTTGGTTATTTTTGTTTGGATTTTTGAATTTTATCTCACGAACTACTTGTTGTCACAATCCATGAGAGCAAGGGTTCATGACTAACATTTATAGCATTTGTTAAACCCTTGGTTCGCTTTTCAAGATACGGAATGGGTTGTTACACTACTCAGTAGTTTTATGTTCACCTCTTTCTACTTTTCTTTTTCAAATGTTCGTTGGCTATAGATCAAAGTGGTGGGAGCGTTTGAGAGCTGCGTGATCATGGAGAGAGTTGTGTAGGGCATTAGTTCATCTACATACTTCAAGTCTTTTGTATTTTTATTTTATAAATGCTTCTTAAACCCGTTTATTATTTGTAATAAACTTGAATATCGATGATTTGTAATTAAGTTGTTTTTTTTTTTAAAAATTTATCTGTGACGGTGTTGGCTCTTAATTTGGTTTAAATTTTACCATATATTTTACATTTTAGCTCGAGGTTATTTTACTTTTATTTTATTTTCTTTTGTCTCGTCTTTTTAGTCGATATTCAAACCATTGAAATTCGGGTTGTAGCTATAGAGGCCTTTATTAATTTAGGCCACAATCTCTCCCATGTGGTTCTTCAATAACTCATATCATTGAAGTCCAAAGCCGGAATTACTGCACCATAATCCAAAGCAAACCACAATAAATTACATTAAAAAAAAAACACTACAAAAGTCCAAAGTAACTGAAGAAATCCCATTAGACACCAAAAGCCCGAACATAAAACATTAACAATTAAGAGTTTTGAACTTCACCTGATCCAACAGAGAGGGATAGTTGATGAACTCATCGGCATGGATGTCGACGCCGATGAAGCATATGTTCTGCCCACAATTCTGGCAGCTGAATCGAGGAAGATTCGGGACCACCGGGAGGATCAAACCCATTTTTGTCGCTCATAATTTGATTGAAATGTGACCTTGATTATCTCCAATATGCTTGCTCAAACATCTTGAATGATCAGTTTAGACTTAACGATGAATCTGACAAAATTAGTATAATTTTCTCTTGGCATGATTTGAATGCTTAGGTTTAATTTAAAATTTTAGTTTATAATCTTTTCGAGTTTATGAGGCGGTTGAATTTAATGAGCTTATGGACATATTTATAATTTATTACATATCATGTTATGCTATTTTTTTTTGGTTTTAATAAAAAGAAAATGAACTTATAACATGAATATTTCTTTTAAAATTTAAAATAAAAATATGTATTATGTATAGGATTTAACTTATGAACCACTTATCACCACTCAAATTATAAAATGTTAATTCAACAACAACCACGGGTCCATGGCTCAGTGGTAGAGCATTTGACTGCAGATCAAGAGGTCACCGGTTCGAACCCGGTTGGGCCCTTTTATTTAGTTTTCCCCCCTTTTTCCTGCTACTATTATCATGGCATCTGCTACCTGAATAATATCATATAATGACTTTAATTTATTATTAATGTATGTAACACACATGTTTAATCTAACCTTTACTTAATTTTATGTAAACATTTACGTGAGTTATTTACTTTTAAAATTTAAGTTTATTGCTTATAAATTACTTGTAATTGTCATAATTCATCTCATAAAAACAAGTTAGTCCATTTTTAAATTTTAAATTTGGTTAAACACCTATTTAAAAATTTTGAGACTAAATGGGTAATTTGAATTTGTTTTTAGTACTTTTTAATTGAGTTAAATAAATTGTATCTATCTTCAAAATTAGAGAGTTAGAAATTGTGACACATAAGTAAGGAGGGGTATTGAATAAGCGGATACCACATTTGAATGAGATTGTTCTTGTTGGTCTGTGAGAATAGTCTTCGCTCTTAAAAGTGAAGGGTAAGTAACGTCACAAAGGATATAAGAAATGTCGGGCCATCAAGTGTTGAATCTAGTTCGAGAATGATGTAAGGCGGAAGCTAGTGAGCATGTGACACTCGAGTAAAAGAGAGATGCATGAAGGAACCAAAACCACATTCGAATAATCATGTGAATAGGATGACTAAGAAATACTTGAAATAATTGAAAGTCACTACCTATACTAACAAGGTACACGTTTCTTTTTTTTGTGGATTAATCATAAGAAGTTCATAGTTAAGCGTGCTTTGCTTGAATCAATTCTATGTTGGATAACCTTCGAAATTTTCCTAGGATGCATGCAAGTAAGGATAAAAACATGTTGGAATGACTCGTATTGAATTTTTAGGATAACTTTCACTCTTTGAAGAAAAAAGTAAGTAACGGGAACATGTCGTAGGAGATGTAAAAGAATACTGAGGCTATCCGGTATCGAAATTCAAATTATAATTCTAAGCATGAATCATTAAAAAAGTGGAGTAACTTGTACAAGGAGTGAGCACTCAAATATATGTCCTACATTCGTGAGGGGAATCCTAATGGATTGAAAATCATATCAACAAGTCTTCTAGTTTGCAAATAAGGCATATCTTCTCTACGCAAAATTTTTGAAACAATACCTTTATTTCCATGTCTTCCCGCTACCTTGTCACCTACTTTGATTTCACATTTCTGTGAAATATATACACGAATCATTTGTAGATTATAACTCGGACCCCCTTTTTTCTGGATCCATCTCACATGAATAACTCGACCCCTATCGCTTATAGGTAGTTTTAGACAGGTTTCTTTTGAAGTTGGTACCTGAATGCCAAGTATGGCTTGTAATAATCTATCTTCAGGGGCATTTGCCGCTTTTTATTTATTTATTTAAACCCTATATTTTGATTTTATTTATTATTATTATTATTATTTTTGGATAAGACCCTATATTTTGGTACATGGCGTAGATGATGGGCTTTTTTCAAAGCATAAATGAGGTGTAGATGAGTTGGACTCAAATCGACATTTAAGGCTCAAATCGCGGGTGCCAGGTGGACTCCTCCTATGCCTGACTTGGACTCCCATATTGGATGACTCAACACGCCCACGCGGAAATTAATATAATAATAATTATTAGACTTTTTAATTTCGTATCATTCTTTTTAAACTCTATAAATTCTTAGCCCCCTCTCCAAATTTAATAATAATAATAATAATAAATAAATAACTTATAATTATTAGACCGTTGAGTTCATTCAAATGTAAATACTTTTAAATCATTATTTTTGTAATATCTTATCTACATTAAACTACATTTATAAATATAGTCTTACTTTATGTAATAAAATATCTACAACTACATCCTTATATTATGATAAAAACATATAATTTAATTTGCCACGTCTCAAAATATTATTTACATTTGATTTTCCCAAACTATATTATATCTAGAGCGCGTCACTTTTCTATGGGCTCGTATAGGTCCACCTTAAAACTGGATAGAAAATCGCTATCTAAGGAGGGGTCGTCCAGAGTGTTCATGAATTTAGTTGAGACAGTTTTAGACTCAACGCAATTGTCCGGCTCATAAATTTTTTCAACCCTAATCCAACTTTAAATTTTTTTTTGAGCGGTCATTTATAAAAATTTGAAAAATTATATGGTAAATATTAAAATTATTTGAAAGAGTGGTTTAAAGAATAAATAAAAATAAATAAGTGGGCATAAAGGTGTTAGACATGCAGGCAAGTAGTGAAAGCAAAATCCCATGCCCGTCCAAATGGCATCTAAAGGTACGTATTTAATTTATGAGTCAAATAAATGGTGGCCCAAAGAACATATGCTTATGCCATCAAATCCATATATTATATTCAAACTAACCAAAAATATGTAATTTATTACACTAATATCGCCTATACTATATACTAAACAAAATCTGATTTAACCAATGTTCTTGCTTTCAATCATATCAGATTTTATTTTATTTTATTTTATTACACCACATTTTTCTTCAAATCTTTACCAAATAGAGGTTACGACCAAAATGGAAAGATAAACTATACTTTTTTATTGTTTGATGCCGTAACTCTATTTCTCTAACGTTCTCTCCATTTAGGACTTTAACGTCTTTTTTAAATCTCTCTATTATAACGATCTCTTGTTTAATGCTGAGTTTATTTTGAATCTTAAACTTATAGTAGAATTTTCTTCCAAATGCTAAATCTAATAAGTCTAGTTGGTGAAGAGTGCTCCTTGACGTCAAGCAAATCTATACGTAAAGGAAGA